CCTTTGACCCTATTTTTGGCCCCCGTAAGTCCCTGACAAACAGATATACACAAATAATAAGATGGGCGGCCTGAGCGCTTATTATAGAAGTACTACCTGGCTTTCCTTCACTTTTCGGAAAATTCCTCACTTCGGAAGATTCCAAAATTCCCCATCAGCAAATGAATACATCTTATTAGTTTTATCATTAGCCGACAAGACAACTGTTACGAGATCATTGCATGCCGACCAGCTTGCATTGGTTGTTTACGCGAATCAATCGCGACGATCAAATCGCGTAAACTCTGTCGTGTAATAAGGGATCGTCCAGTCCAGAAACACATTGAAAATATAGGTCTCGCTGATCCACAAAAATATTGGAGGCAATAAAGGAAAACACACAAAGAAAAAACGGAAAAGTACAAATGTGATGTACAAAAACGAATGCAAAAATTCGATGTAATGTAACATATTTGCATAAATGCACCATTCCACCTACCTGAGATAGTCCGATTGAGCCTCAAATTGGTGAACTAAGTGCGAGGTGCTGTAGTCGAAAATTCTGACATGAATGTCATCTGAGCCGGTAACAATACAATTTTGCGTGAAATGAACTTGGCAGCGCGCACTGGCAAATCACATATCTGAAGAATGCGCAAGATACTGGATTGAAACATAGTAAGCAACATAAGGCCCCAGCCAGACTTCAGTTGAACAGCCCAAAACCGCTTAAGAACACCGAAGGCCCCTTTTCACGAGAGATGAGCTATCTTGACCGGAGTCTGGCAGGGGCCTAACATACAAAAATACATGAAAATTCAAAAAAAATAAACCTACTTTGAAAGACTTCAGAAGCAGCTGACCCTCGTAATTCCAAATCTGAACACTTCCACTGTAAAGAGCTGTCAATAGCCACGTTTCCGTGGGATGAAGGTCCACCGATTTAACTCAACTCGATCTTGTCAAAAACATTTCCTCAACTTTTGATGACAGCACGCCTACAACAACCAGAACAAAGGAAAACGAAGAAAACAAACGACCCAAAAGAGCGAAAGTACGGAGAAATCGACCATATTGCGAAAACTGAAGAAGCACAATTACAAAAACAACTTTTTGCATAGAACATCACGACGAAATATGATCTCTGGCCCTTCTGAGCCCTTGTAGGGCTTGTCGAAGAAGCAATCTGTTCAGAAATCGCGTGAAGATTGCTTCAATCAGCGATAACTAATTCAGAAAAAGTCAAATTCTCGAAGTTTCCGCGTCGTCCGTGCAAGGTGCACCGATCGCGATTGGAGCGCGCTTTCCGAGGCCGATCATAACGCCGTGAACCCTATTTGGGGCTGTATCTAAGCGGTGCCCTGGTGGTTTTGGAAGCGGATTTGAACATGTAGTGATACTCTCGACCTAGTCCACATTTATGTAAAGAAATCCGGGATATTATGTGAAGGGAAGCAGGGAGCCACCCCAGGTGGCTCCCAGGTGGCGCGGGAGCCACCTAATTTCGAAAAACACTTACCATTTTTTTAATTCACATAAGTTTTTCATAATTTTTCATACTTTTTTTGTGCTCATGGTCCTCCAACTATACAGCAAATTTGGTGCCATATCGTTACTTGTGCATTGAAAACGAGCCTATTTTGTTATTTTCCTCTTACAAGAATTGCGATTTGAATTCCCGCCTGCGGGCAGGCTAGCGATCGGAGCACAGAATCTTCACATTGCTGGAATCTAAGTTCATAGGACAGTAGCATCAACAGAGAATGATGAATAAAGAATGATATGTGCATTGTTTATCGGTAAACAAAGGGGAAGTCATATTTTGAGGCTCCGCCTCGGACCCCAAAATACGACTTCCCCTTTGCTTTTTCGGGCCAAAAACGATATCCAGCTTGTGAAAGCGCCACCCCCGCCGGGCCCTGGCAGCAACACAAAATTTTCTGCAAGTGCTCGTCAAATAATCTCTTTCAGCGAGCGCGGACCAAATTTTCAGCAAGCCCTCGGACTCTTTTTACGCAGCTTCGGGAGTACGCCGAGCAAAGGTAACACTCTCTCAGATGATCGCCGGGCGCAGGCGGCCATGCGAATTTTGGGCAAGCGGGCATCGGAAAAATAGTTCGCTGATAAAATTTAAAATTATTTTGGCCAATTTTAGACGAACGCTCGGAGAAATATCGCGGTCTTTCTATGGATAAGTTCTTCTCGCGGACTTTCCGCGAGAATATGGATTATTGTTGTGGGCCGCACGCTTTGTGAAGGACAGCATTGCCCAAGGTACCTTCCGCTGAAAGAAGGTACCCCAGACTCGGATAATTAATCCATCGATGACATCTTGCCAGTAGAGTCTGACCTTTTTCGGCGTACGCCTGAAACTGCGTAAAAAGAGTCCGAGCCCTTGCTGGAAATTTGGCCAGCGCTCGCTGAAAGAAATTATTTGCCGAGCGCTTGCAAAAAATGCTGTAATGCTGTTCGCTGGCAGAATATGCGACCATAAAGGAAGTGCTGCCCGCTGAAGGTTTGGCCACGCCCCAAAATTGTGCTGACCGCTTGCAGAAAAGCGCGAGTTTGCGGACCTTCTGCCCCTGACGATTATCTGAGTTACATAACAGAGGTGTCATCGATGGTCTAATTACCCAAGTTTGGGATACTTTCTTTCAGCGGAAGGTACCTACGGGGTATGCGGTCCTTCACAAAGGACCGTGCGTCCCCCCATGCGGCCATTGCGCCGCAACTATTCTCTGAAAAGCCGCAATTGTTCTCCGAGCATCCGTCTAAAATTTCGCTAAAATTTTTTAATCAGCAACGGACCGCAAGAAATCAGCGGATTATATTTCCGGTGCCCGCCTGCCCCCGGCGATTATCTGAGTAGATGGTACTAGCAATGAGCCAAAATGACATACCCACAAGTGTAAATCGTATGCATGGATACAACATTAGTCTGTTCATGTCTTATAAATTAGTTTTGATTTTCGCTATACAGGGTAATCTTATAAAATACTAGCTGGCTTCTCCAGTCCAACCCGAGTCATCCTTCAGGATAATGGCTAAAGCCACACTTTGCTGGGTTTCCAGTCTTTTTCGTTCGGTTCAACCATGTCTACCTCCACATTTTCTGCAGTCTTGGTACTGCACTGAAAGCCCCCCCCCTCCCCCCAAACTCCTTCATGGGCCTACTTCAAAACGATTGTGAGTAACTTTCTTCTTTAATTCAAAATGAAATTGATCTTTACTGCATTGTTTGCCTCAAAATTGTTTATTTTTATTGCAAATGCTCAAATCAATAGATCGATAAAACAACCGAGCGAATCGAAAAATCGAAAAGCAAAAGTAGCCTATCGTGTGCGTAGGGGTCGAAAACATATGTGTGCAAAGTTTGGCGCTTTTTGGTTCACTCACAAACACTTCTATTCGGTACATACTTCACGGAAACATACTTCTCACGAACTTCGAGTTTTTATACAGGATTTCCCAAAAAATGTGCCTACTGTTAGATTGTTAGTAACTCTCTTGCAATAAAGTCTTTCAAGGAGCTTCAAGCACCATTTTGTAGAGCTAGCTTCAACCTTGATTCAGTATAGAACGAATCACCCATTTCTCTTAGTCACTGTAGGATTACAGTAGAAACGTCAAAGAGGGTTTTGAGCCATGAAAGGCCACATTTTGCTTCACAAAGAAAACAGAACGACCTGAAAACTTTCACATTGGGCTAGTTAGGGCTGCTAATTCTAAGTATGAAGTTTGCAACTTTCAATAATACTTCATTAAAAAGTTATAAGGTAAGCCGTAGCAGCCGTTTTTCCAATATTTCTCAAAAGTGGGGTCCTACAAAAGGATTTTGAATCTCGCCCTCCAAATTGCTTTTAAAAAACAGCACTATGCTTTAGAGAAGCTCTTTGTTGTATAACACAGTACTTCAAGGATTATTTATTGAGAGGTAGAAAGAAGTGGCAGGGAAATGCGTCTTTTTGTCCTGGAATTCGCAGCGATATTGTAAACTTCTCAAGTCGCCTTGGATAAAAAAAAACTAGATGTTCTGGGAATAGTTTCCGAATTGGATGTGTCTGTTGTATAATGCACAGTCTATTTCAAGGAGTATTTGTTGAGGGGCAGGATTGATTGGCCGGAGATGCGCCTCTTTTGTCCTGGAATTATCAGCATTTTTGCAAACCTTCCAAGTCGAAATAAATAAGAAAACTAGATGTTTTTGGAACAGTTTTCGAATTGAAAAAGGTCTCTGTTGTATAACACAGTTTATTTTAAGGAATATTTATGAGTGGCAGTAAGAAGTGGTCGAACTTTTAATCCCGAAATTCGCAGCCGTTTCGCGAACTTCCCAAACCGCAGCAAATAAGAAAATCAAAGGGTTTTGAGACAGTTGCCGAATCGGAAAAGGTGTAGGTTGTATAACACAGATAGTTTGAAAAACATTTGTTGAGAGGCAGGAGGAAGTGATCGAAAATGCATTTTCTGTGGTTTAAATTCCTCGAAAATTAAGGCTTCCACCCTTTTCATGCAGGTTTTGGAAAAAAAACTTCTTGCTTGGAAAGAATCAAACCCAAAGGGAGTCCATCTAAGCTCAACTAATGAGACCACAGCTTCCGTGCTGGGCCTTCCTGGAAGCAAATGCATTTTCTGTGGCTTAAATTTCTTCGAGATTAGAGTTTTCACCGATTTCCATGCAGGTTATGGGGAAAACAAAACTTTTTTGAAAAGTGATCAACCACAGAGAGAGCCCACCTAAGCCCACCTAATGCTTCTTCAAAGGTTAAAATCTTTCGGTCGTTGGAATCATAGTACTTTAATATTTATACACAGCGTTGTGCACACTATGTACCCAGCATAAGAATCGAAATCGGGAAAGCTTACTCGACAAGGTGTGCGAAGCAAAGAAGAACCGATCTGATTGAGTGCCACTTAAAAATGTTATCTGTAATACTTGCACTTCAAGGTGTAAGAGATAAGTTATTCTGCATTTTAAGAAGTTCATTTTAATCATTTCAAGTTTGTAAGGTGCTCAAAGGATGTGGGTGTCAATTATAATACTCCGGTCGTCGTCGCAGTTATCATTGGTAAGTTCCTAATCTTGCGCACATGCAGACGAACACAGAAGGGATCACTGTCTCACGCTTACCAAAATCGTAGACAGAAGCTTATTATCGAAAGTAGCCTCGAGTGATCTTGTACTCCTATTTCTTATATGTTTCACGATTTTTTGAGAAAAATTTGAAGAAAAAGGGCGAGCTCGTCCATGTCCCAAACAAACCATACTTCCAGTGTTGTCTGAAGTTAAGCATGAGAGCTAGTAATTGAAGTGGTGCTTATTCATTACAAGTTGAGCTACTAATTCTCAAAATTGTGATCAAATGCTTGTCAGGCGTCATTTCAAAGTTCAAGATTTAACTAGCCTATAGCTTAGCATATATGGAAGGCAGATTAAATATTAACTCATCGATATGCATGCACTGACAAGCTTTCTTGCCAGTTGGTTTGACATTATGGTAATTCATTTTAACATTTTTTATTTTAACAAGAACCTTGAGGCCTCGAACAGCGTTTACGCGATTTTCTCGCTTCAGGACTTGTCACTGGCGGTGACGGCATCCTCAATCTTATCCTTCTTGATTGGTTGCGAGTGAATCCCGATACATGGATTGTTATTGTAATGGCATCCACCACGTGCTGCCAAAAATTGCATTGTCACTTTTTCGCGACAAACGGACGGAGATGAACAAGGGCGTTATTATACAGCATCGGTATTATAGCCTTAACAATACATCACTCTCAGAATCTTATGCACTTCTGAGAGGGGCACGTTAGAAAGATTGCCGTCTTTTAATTCTGGAGAACGGCGAATCAAAGCCTGCGTGTAAGTATGTCAATGAAGTTTCCCGATTATTTTCTAAATAAAAATTTTAAACGAAATGACGATAATCAACGCAGTATTCAATTGCATTGCTTTGAGGGGTCCTATTCTGATACAGAAGACTGATTCCGAGTTATCATGTCGTAACATCTTGAAATACTCTCATTTTTAGGTAATAAGTCGTACAGTTCACATTTCCAGTAGGGGTCCAGGAAATGATTGACAGAGCAGAGCAAGCACTATAAGGTGGTATGCTAAATTTCGCACCAACTTGGACCCATTCTAAGTTGCATCCCAATTCTGAGTCGTACTGAAGGCTCAAAAAATCGCGAAAAATCATATGTTAGTTAAAATATGTTAGTCTAATCCCCAACTTCCTCCAAGAAATTGCACACTATATTAGACACTCATATGTACGATGCATTATAATTCCCCATTGAGAAATCGAAAAAACGAAAATTTTCATCTTTATACTGAAATGGAGCTATGCTGCTTTCACTCATGAAATTGTGAACTACAAGCCCCTACCAAGGCTCGGTATGAGGTGGCTTTTTCAGTTTTTGAACAACAAAGTCCCCGTAGACTTCGCCACAAGAATATGACATCACCTATGAATCGATCATGAATGGATAAAAGCGAATAACGAGAAATAATGGAACAAAACGTAAAGAAAACATTGAACTGACGGAAAGGAATTGAGAATGTCCGTATCCTCTAAATTGGCAGCATGCTGTGTCCGGGCGCACCCTTGCGCGCTTGGCGCAGGCTTGCCGCAGCCATAAAAAAATATTGGGAGGGCTGTAACTAAGCGGGGAAAAGGGGGTTTAGGGAACTCAATTGTAGGGTTTTAGATGTAGAACAAAGTTGTCATGTGAAAAAATTTTATAAAGAAAGAAAAATTTGTGTTTTTTTCTTTTTACCGCCACTTCAGGTGGCTGTCCAGGTGGCTGGAAAGCCACCTAACTCCGAAAAGAGTTTGCCACGCCTTCAGTTCACATAATTTTTTCCATAATTTTTTGCACATAGTCTTAATTCCCTATTGCCCATCTACACACCAATTTTGGTGTCATTTCATCTTCTCTTCGCTGTAAACAAAGTCTTTGTCAACTTCGGAGCAAGTTTGAATTCGCGCGCCTACCCGGCGAACCTGTAAACAGGAGATTTTTGGTTTTTACAGGAAAGAGGCTGATAAGGCAGGAATGACAATGCGTCTTCTATAGAAGATGAAAGGCGACATATAGGGCATACCAGCCACCACCGCTCATGGGTACCCAGAGGATGAGGCAGCGCGCGCGCGACGCGAGCGAAGGAGATTGCACTTGGGCGCGAAAGCTAGCCTTGTTCTTAGAGTCATGCCGTTAATTTACCCCGTGTTTACCTTCTGTTCTCTTGTTAGGCATGAGGTTCCGTGCTTGTAACGATTACTAACCATTTCGAGTGGTGGCGCTGCTCGAATGAAGAGTGTTCAAGCAAAGATGGCGAAGCGCATCTCTTGCTCATGCACAGCAGAAATTTAACATCCAATCTGAGTTGAGGAGACTCGAGCACGCTTTGCGCAAGCATGAGGAAAAAATGTTATTGTTATTCACCCCATTTGGTTGGTTTACTACTAGAGATTGAAGGAGAAACATGTTCAAGTTTGTTAAACAACATGCAACGTTCTCAATTCTCCTAATCTCAAAATTGATAGAATCAAAGTGTCAGATTGGAGTCATAATCACACAAAGCTGCATTAACCATTACCGATTTGGAATAAAAGAAGTTTCAGGGTGCTCTCATGCTACTCAAATCGCGTGAAATACGGAAAACAAGAACTTCAACATGCAATCAAGTACGAAATGAAGTTGGACAGATACGTGAAAGAAGTTTTTTTTACAACTCAGAGCAAGAATTTTCGGAAAACAGCGATAATTCAACCCTAGCCAAAGATCTACCAGCAGACTTTCGCGCTCGGGTACTAATTTCGATGCCTGCGTCGCGCCTTTGCAGCCTCATCCCGCGGGTATCCACGACCGATAGTGGTTGGTATGCCCTATCATAACTTATAATAACGGGCTAAGGGTTGTTTACGTTTGTCTGTGTGTGTGTGTGAATCTCTGTCTGTCACGAAATTCATAGAGCGTGTTCCAGCCAACACCCTGAGCCCAAATTTTGCATAGCGCACGCTACCAGCGTGAAAGCTCACTATACAAAAGCATGAGCGGATCCGTTGAGTGGATCCATCGAAAATTGCGCGTCAAACGGATCCACTTGGCTTCTGGCCAGCAAATTTGGGTCCGTAGTACTACTTTTTGCAGAGTTAAGGATATATTTGACAAACTAATGTGCAAGCCATGGACGTTAGCCTAAAAAAGTAACGAAAAGTACACTACTTCACGAAAACAGCGCCAAAAAGCATTCGCTGTGTAAACGGTCAATTTTTCAAGATTTTAGCTGATTATTTGAGAAGATTTTTGCACAGAGGTGTAGCCCACTATGTCTATTATCCTTACGGCGACTACCAAGCCATAATAGTTCCAAAAGCCTATTCGAATTTGCATCTGTTCTTCTGGGAAAGATTTTATCCACGCGAAAACACCGACCTCGCATGAAAGACCTCTATGAATGAGTAGTTGTTTACGAATTATTCGTGATAGCCCTACAAAGCGCGGTGAGTTTCAATGTCATTATTATGCGGGAATGAGTAAGGCATACAGAAAATAGGGCCAGTGCGAGCCTCTGCAAAGCAGAGGTGACGCACTGGCACATTGTTGCATTGCATTGCATTGCATTCACATTTCACATTGCACACATTCACACACATTGCACACACATTGCACACACACACACACATTGCACACTGCACATTGGCACACACGCACACGCACTTCACGCACTGACACATTGTTTACTTTTGTCTGTGTGTGTGTGTGTGTGTCCGTCTGCCTGTAACGAAATTCATAGAGCCAGTTCCAGCCAATGTCCTGAGCCCAAATTTTGCATAGCGCATGCTATCAGCGTAGAACTCCACCGTACAAAATCACGAGCAGATTCGTTGGGTGGATACATCAGAATTTGCGAGTCAGACGGATCCATTTGGCTTCTGGCCCGCAAAATTGGGTCTGTATCAAAGCTTTTTGCAAAGTCGTGGATGAGTTTGGCATGTTGATGTGCAAGACATGGACTTTAGGCAAAGAAGTGACTAAAGGTCTACTACTATACCAGAACGACGCTAAAAAGAAATGGTTGCGCAAATGGTCAATCCGCCGTGGCTTTACCTGACCATTTGGGATGATTTTTGCATAGAAATGTAGCTCACGGTAATTGTTGTCCTTATGGCGATTACCAAGCCAAAAGAAGTTTGAAAACCTAATCGAATTTGCATTTGTTCTTCTGCGAAAAGTTCCATCAACGCGAAATTACCGATCTCACATGAAAACCCCTTTAAAATGAGTAGTTGTTTACATTTCATTCGTGGTAGTCGTCATTGCACGGTGAGTTTCAAAGATATCATTAGGCGAGAACAAGTAAAGCATATAAAGTAAGACCAGTGCGAGCCTCTGCGAAGCAGAGGTGACGCACTGGTAAAGGAAGAAGGCGATAGTGTGTGTAGGGGGAGGAGGGGAGGGGGCTGAGTCCGCCTAACCGATATCCCCTTGCTTTTTATTCCAAAACGAAATCTAGGTTGCCTTGTAAGCCATCTGTGCCGAGCCCTGGCCCTAACAAGTATATTCGTAGATTTTCAGTATTTCACAGGCCTAGTTTTCGAAAATCAACATATTTGACTTCCCTCATTTGGGTGTTCCATGTAAAATCAATACTTCTCAAAAATTAGGGCCTGTGAAAAACTGAAAATCTACTGTCATACTTCTAAGGGCTGAGTGGGTCGAAGTTGGTGCAAACTTTTGTATAACGTCTTGTAGAACTTGCTCTGCTCTATCAAATATTTCCTGGACCCTATTGAAAATGTGAACTGTATGATATGATTTATCGCCGTAAAAAGTGAGAGTGTCTCAAGACTTATGTTTACCTTGTTGAAGACTTACTTAGATACTTAGTTGGCTCGTCCTCACGTGATGTGCGGGCCCCAGTACAGTGGGTCGATGGCTGCGTCTACGAGTTCCATGGGCGAAAATCGTCCAGCTACCTTCTCAGCTGGTCCATCCGTTCCACGAACACGTCTTCCCATCTCGTCGGTGGTCTTCCTCGAGGACGTTTGGCTTCGCGAGGAATCCACTCAGATGTTCTTAGTGTCCATCTATCGTCTGTTCTTCTCATTATGTGACCGGCCCATCGGTATTTCGCCTTCGCAACGTATTCCGCTGAGTCACGAAGGCGGGACATTCTTCTTATATCCGTGCTGCGAAGTCCGACTAGATGTTGCTTGTGTTGGGTCATCTTCAGAAGACTACGCTCGAGCGCTCTGTGGGTGGTCCTTAGAGCTTTCGACGTGACTACGGTGTCGGCCCAAGTCTCAGCTGCGTAGCAGAGCGCTGGGAGAACGGTTGAGTCGAACAGGTGGGCACGAAGCTCCGGGTCCGTCAGTTGGTCGGTGGCTTCCTTCAGAGGCCCGAAGGCGGCCCAGGCTGCTCTTCTTCTCCTGTTAAATTCTTCCCTCAAGTCGTTCTCTATGTTTATCGAACGTCCGAGATACTCGTAAGAAGACGTCTCCTCGACTTTCAAGCAACAGAAAATACTGTAATGTTGCCGTTACGACAGCCATACAACAGTGAACTCGTGCGCATGACTGGGAAAAAATTTCGGGATTAAGCACTCTGGTTCAGTCGCAGTTGACATCCACTGAATGTTGAGCGGAGCACCCTGCACAGTCAAAGCCGGCTCAGATTACGAGATAAAACCGGAGACGCTTAAAACTTCAAAATCTTAGCTAATCTCATTCATCGGGTGAAATATGACATGAAACACAGAGGGAAATAAGGAGATCTAGAGTTATATCGAATCTTCTGCTCGCAAATAATTTTCGTAGGAAGTATTTCAGGTCTAAATCGCTACCGCATTATTAGGGAAAATCTGAAAGTTGTTGCGAAAGCTGCATCCCCATGTAGGCAATGTAATAAATCAAGTTCAGCACTTTGTGGACATTGCAAACTGAGTTTTGTGGTTTGCCTTTCAAGCCTATGTTGAGGTTGGAGTCACCTCATTTATTCAGAAGGGTCAGTAGATTCTATGGTTATCATTTGAAATGAACAAGAGCTTGAAAACTCTTCATACCAAATGTTTGTTGAAGCAGATTGACTTTTGGTGTCTTTGAAAGCAAAAAATGCAGTGATCGCTTCTATTTGAGTAGGATGGCAGGCCCTAGGTGTTGCGAATGTTTCATATTTTGCGATGTAATTGTACAAAAAAATTTGAGAGCCAACGAATGCGATAGTGATTAGAAGAACCAGGTGGCTTTATAATTTTGTCCAGCTTTCAAAGAGGGCTTTTTCAAATTTTTTCGTTTTTCTACGTTCAAACTCAACAAGACTGAGCGCCGTTTTGAGGGGTTTTGGCAGGTAGACATGCGCACAATACAGCAAAGTTTCAGACAGATTCATTGACAAGAACGAAAATTACGACGATTTCTAGAGTGGCTCTATAATTATATCCAGCACTGTATTTACATTTATTTAATGTTGCATTATGATTTCTCTCCAAAGAGGATCATAGCATTAGTAAACAAAGATGCTAGTAAGGGAGCTTTATACATGAATGAATTACAATATTAAGCTTGCATTCTTGATGTTGAAATTTTGGGCCACAGGGATCCAGAAGTTTTAGATAACTCTTCTGCTTGGACAGGAATGCGGAAAACGAGGAACCAGACTTTATCATTCTACAACAATTTTGAATTCAAAATTCTAAGTCGTATTTCCGTGCCATTGTTGCAACGGTGATGCGAATAATTTTGCAACACACTATGCATAAAGTTAGTTTTCACCACCAAAAGTTCTATTTTCATTATCCGTTTTCCAGAAAAGAAGAAAAGGCGGCAACTCCTCTGACGTGCTTTTCAGAACTCGCAAAAAAAGAAAACTATGATAATAATATTTACAACAATCATTGACAATTTGAATTGCAATAATCCCTATAATTTTGCGAATCTGTTTGAAAAATTTGTTTATTTCGTAATCTCACATAGTGTAGCTTTCCATCGTCGCGTTTAAGTGGGATCAGCTGAGAAGGGGTTAGGAATACATTCCCCCTACAGCTGCGCGCATAACGCGCTCTTGACACGAAAAAGACTGACTCGCTAAAATGCATACAGATTACGATTTCTTCAACGGGATTGAGGTGCAATCGACAGAATTTAGAAAATTTTGACAACAATCTATGCTTAGAGTCTCACAGCAAAAAGTGCCATCATGATTATGTAACGTTGATGCTAATTCTTTGGATCACGTTGTAAACAATTTGTCAAGTGGTTAGAGTAGGCTCGTCGCATAACTACACATAGGCCAAGATATTGGTAAAACACAAATGTGCAAGTTCTGCTTGCATACCTTTTCTTCAACACACTCTTCCATTTTGGAAGAAGAGGCATCATATTGTTGTTCAGCCCTTTAATTTGCAGGTGATGGCTATCGCATGTTGTCTTGGCTGGCATAAATTATTGATATGTAAGTGTTAAATACAGGGTGCACCAAAAGACGTTTCAAAGTTCCGATCTCTGGTAACTTTCTTGTACAAAAGCTTTAAGGCATGTTGTAAAGCTGGTTTTGAACTTGCAGTGTGGATTAAATCACCCACTCTCTTTACTACTGTAGGAAAACGGCAAGAACTTTCAGCTTGTAACTCATCATGAATTAGTTGTGTTTTATATCTAATTTCAGAAAATCTAAAAGTTATGTACTAATGTTTTTGAGGGCGGTAATTTCGCTTCTCAGCATTTCACGAGTTTTTGAATCCCCAAAACGTCAAACCCAATTCTAGCGAGCATTGCAAAAATGCTTTTGCGGTCCATCTGGTATAGCTAATGAACGGGGGTGTGATGCAAGAGGAACGATAATGATTGCCAGCCGCTGGTGCCAATGCACTATTTGTTTTCACAATTCGCAAATTGCAAACTATAAAAAATAGTAGATATGAAGTTAATGCTCTGCTCAATTTACTTATCAAGTCTTGCTTGAATTCATATGAGAAGTTCGATGACGTTTTCGCAGGAATAAGTTTGAAATACTTGAAGTTTTAGCTTTGAGACCCTTTTTGACAAAGCAAACACAATCTATCCGATTCTCCTCCCTAGATGAAAGCATAAAAGAAGGAAGTACTTTGAAATTCTGTGTGCTGATGGATAAAAATGACGGTGAAGTATGCGCGAGTTATTGGCACCCGCCAGCTATCGTTCCTCTTGCTCGCCACCCAATGAATGGAGCATTGCTGGTGCGAAAATTATAAGCAGTGTCCGATCGAAAAGTCGATTTTGGGACCTTGTGCTCACCCAGGCCTATTCGCTATGCTAAATCCGAAAGTCCGCACTAGAAAGCGCGAAAACGGCGAGGAAGGGCTCTAACGCAGGAGGGAGATTAAGAGATGGGCGGAGTCTTTCCCATTGTGAATTGACGCTCCTAACTTTCGGAGCGATCTTCTCGATTTCGGCAGCCATCCTGACATCTCCACCGGCCAAGTGCGAACGCGTGAACACGGAATTAAGAACGCTTCGGAGGCTGGGAGCGTGAATTCACAGTGGGGAGGTCCCAGCCCACCTTTGTTTCACTATTGTGTTAGAGCCTTCTTTGCCGTTTTCGCGCTCTCCAGTGTGGATTTTCGGATTCAGCATAGCAATAGGCCCAGGTAAGCACAAAATCTCAAAATCGAGTTCTTGCCTGGGCATTGCCTTTATGTTCAATGTTAGCTGCTCTGATAAGGCTTATATAAAATTACAGCTGTTTGGCTCGCTTTATAGGGCGAATTAGTCCATCAGTGGTTGCCCCACTTCAGAATCTTACGGTAATCCTATGTAGTGAGAAGCAACTGCTAGTGCGCTCCATACTGAAAGTCAAGTCGAAGCCAGCTCTACAATATGGTGTCTTAAGAAAGAAAAAAGTTTTCCGTACAAAAAAGTCACTAGAGACCCTATGTACAATATACTAATTTGGGATACAATCTGTTTTCTCGTTATCTTACTCGTGCATAACACGGCAAATTCTGATTGATTCTACTACTAAACTGTTTTCAAGGGGAAAGATTGTAGCTTACAAGTTTGAAGGTATGCAAACTACTCCTTGAACGACAAGCGTCTACCAATCTATCTCCTGCTCCATTCGTAAAATGCAATTGATTGAGTTTGAATTTTAGAATGAAGGCTTGCTTATTCATTCCATAACAAACATCTCAAAATGCAACAAAAATCAGAGAGTATTGCGAATGTGCACAAAAGCTTCATATTTCCCTTATTCTACAATCGAAACTCTGACTAACAGCCTGTAAGTTGAGATATGTCCACCTGAAATCAGTGACGAAAACGTTGGTGTGAGATCCTATGACATGTCCTTCGGGACTAAACACTGTACAGATGTACCAACATCTCACTGTTGGTGACCTTCTCAGTCTTAGCCCAAACAAATTGAACCGACCAACTCTAGCAAATAACAAGTTTGGCGAGGCCCTTTTTTTCCTCTCATTGAATACTTTGTGAAGTGACGTGCGCAATGTAACTCTGATGTGTGGAAAAGGAAAGTGATTGCTTTTCGAGTTTGTTTCCGGTAGAAAGCGCAGATTATTTGTAGAAAAGTAAAAAAAGACAAGTTATCTACATATCACGAACAAACATAAGGGTAACGTAAGGGTACCACACTAAGTTTGGATTATTGTTTCCTCTCGCAATTTTCAATTCTACCATTTCGTTTTACAGTCTACTCCAAATACGGAGAAAAGCGGCTGAGTTGTTTTTCGGATTCGGGTACGGCGAATTCAAAAGTGACCACTGGAGGCAGATCATCGACCGTTTTCTCTTTATGAAGACAAATTGCATATCAAGATCAGACACCTGATTTTATGCATCTTTTGTAACTAACACCGGTTTGTCGCTTTTGTTGCTGACAACGTATGTGCGTTATTCTACCATCATCTGAGCAAGCATCCTTTAGCTTGGAATACGAATTTGCATCAAAACACTATGAATAAAAATAAATTTTGATCAAAAAAGGGGCTCGGCGAAGTAAGTTATAGACAGAGCAGAATGTATCGAATGTACGAATAAACCGCAATGATTAGATCGAAGAACAAGTAAAAGAAATTTTCGAAGGGGTTTCTGCCAAATTTCTCGCTTCAATTTAAGAAACTGACATGATTTAAGTTATGTAAGCAGTCCTCGGCATTCTGAAATGACGCAAATTTGCCTGGAGTGGATAGAGGAAAAGGAGAAAAGACAGCATTTAAATGCTCGTCAGAAATGTGAGGGATAGTGAGACAGCGCTAAATGTGAAAGGGCCGGCAAGCAGGGAAAAAACAGCAGAAAAGAAGATTTGGGTTTGATCTGTTTCTGTGAATTCACAACTCTAAATGTTATATGTCAATTTATTCGTAAAGACTAGAAGCGCGGACAATGGCGAGGTCAAAGACCACTCCTAATGACAGCCTGATTTTTGTGAAGGGTTCAGAGTAGGTTCTAGCACAGTCAAATTTTATACAGAATGAAGCAAAATTTTGGAAGCCGAATTTACAGTGCTGTTAATCAGAAACTACTAATGATTTTGATTCGAAATTTGTGCCACATAATGCTGCGATCATCCTCTACAAATCAAAGTTTCTCTAGGCTGAAAATGCTTGCCACATGCTTTTGTAAGAATTGGGTCTACCAATAAGTGCTTCTGCACTGCGAGGAAAGCAATTTTAGTAGTCATAAGTCATTTTGTAGTCAAAGAAACTGTGAATATTCTACAACATTGTTGCATACAGTGTAGAGAGGGCATTACGCTATAAAATCGTATAATTGCGTTTGCCATAAACTGTTCTTTCGAAAACGCATAATAAAAATGTGCGAATATTACCTGCCTCTGTCGCGGATTCGCGACTTCCTTCAAAGGAGGCCGCCGACGCGGTGCGAAGGGATCCTGAAACGCTGTCCTCGCGCTGCTCCCGCCTTCCCATCGCTACCGCCGCAGCTTTCAAATCAGTCGTCAGTTTCGTTACCTGGTAAGCGGTTGGGTCCCAGTTCCGTCATCCCAAGTGTCGATCGATGCAGCGCCGTCCCCAACTCATGCGTTCAACTACATCTACGCCACGGAGGACAGGCAACCACGCAGACGAGGTAACCCCGTGAGCGCTCGCACCTGGCATACGCTGGCGACACCGCCACGGGGTTTCCGATATTGTCGGCCCCTAGGATAAGATCTGGCTGGTTGTACTCACCCCCTTGTGTTTGAGTTTAGGATTAGTTGTGGATAAATGGTGGGCATTTTACACGTGTGATTTGTTTGATGCGGTGAGCCACAGCTCGGCTGTGGCTCCGGGGATATCACATGTCATCATTGTTATTGTGTATTTTATAATCGTGCCTAGTGAGAAACATCCGTGAGAAGGCTGGCATGATCCATGGTAGTGCCGTGGTTATAAATACATGCCCAGCTGTCGATGGTTGGGAGATGGGTCGGATCGCAGGTGTCAAGTAACTGCTAAGCAGGCTGGTGGCAAGGGCCTCTAAGTGTGTATGGAGTACCCATGTGGCAGGCACAAGTGGCATTTACACAGGTAGCCACCTCACATGATACGCTTCACTCTATCACGGAGCGGACCCCTGGCTCCCCTCGCCGATGCAGGAGGGCACGTTACCACTGACGTTGGGAGCTGGGGGCCCAATCCGCGACAGCCTCTAGTAGCCATATGTCTTCAAATCAAATTTGAAAGCTCTAGGAGCGCAGCAGTGAGTTTTAGATTATGTTTCTTTTCCTGAGCCTTCCATATAAACATCAATCAAACATCAACATCAATTTGATCCACGGAACAATTTCAATTTAGATCATGATTTTTGGCTTTCGTACACGCAATCGCATCCAGATTTTCAGTATGCGAACACACTTGCCTTCACTTGACATTCCAAAATTTTTTTCCTAAGCATTGCAAACAAATTTCTTTGTTATATGCCGTAGTCAATAGCTTTCTCTATCATACTACACGTTTGCCTAGTGAAAGACACACCTATCGTGAAGCGTGGGAAGAAATTTATAACGACTCCTTGCGTGCCAGGACAGGCGGACTCGCCATGATTTCGAAGAGCTGCTGGAAGCCAAAAGGCGCTGTATTTGTAAAGGCTCGATCTATGTTGAACCAATTTTTTGTTTCTAGATACTTCCCTTTAGATTTCACCTGAAAAAGTGCTAGGCTCCGAGATTTTTGCCCCACATGTAGCATCTCCAATGGTCAATCTGGTTTTCTAAAAGTTATCCTCAAATGAAGAGTTTGTGAGAAAAACAATGAAGCATCCATCCAAATTCTCGCAAAGACCTGGCACGAAAGACTACATAACCGCATCTATTTCGCGTTGTTGCATTAAGTTACCCAGCAATCGCTCGCTCTATCACTTTACTTGCTATCGTTCTGATGCGTTCGTAATTTTAGCAGCAGAAAACAGAAGAAAACGTTCATGACTCTGCTCCGGATTCCCATTTTCATATGAAGGTTCTGATTTTTTTACCGCCAAGCAAAGGTCACCAAAGTGTATGACTTCATGTGGTGCAAGTATGATAGGTCTAGGTTGAAAAGGAGTACTCAATTAATTTATAAATCTTCAAAATTGTGAATCTAATCGGCAAGGATCAAGTTTTCAATCGGCGTGATCCTAGTCGATTAGGGTCCTATGGAACTTTTGCAAGCTATGAGTGAAAAGAAACCTTGATACCTCGCTTAAAAGGACTTACAATGATTGGCAGAGGCCCGTAGTAAACCCCCCATCAAGGCATCTCTCTCGACGCGGACCGGAGTTGAGGTCATCGCGCCTCAGTCCAGCATACGGCGAGCTACTGATTTGGATGCGGATCACTGCCGAGGCATTGCAATCAAATGAGTACTTAAAAATGAAGCACTTGAGCTGGTTTGGTCAAACGGGTAAGCGATTGGAATTACGCGCGCGCGGCCGTGGTTCGACTCCGTCTACCAACTCGCTTTTTGATGCATCGCCGGGCAATCTTTGACAGCGGCCACTATGGCAATCGATGATGATCGCTATCAAGGACTTCGCCAAGCAAATACACGGATAAAACAAAAACACAATTTGTGACGGAAATTTTACGAAAAAACGAAATGATAGTAGCGTGTATTCAATGAAATGAATAAATGAGTTCTCGTCTTCTACAGTCAGTGAGAAAAAAATCAGTAAGATTTACAAAAAAGAGGAGAATTTGTTTTTTTGTTTTCCTCGCCAAGATCAGCTGTTCATCGATCCTCTCCTTTTCGGGCGCGTTTGTGCAGTTTTGCGCCGATTTTTTCTGCATTTTTTGGCAAAGCTGTGTGTATCGTAAGTTACTCAGGAGCAACTTATGTTAGATGCAGTCAACTCTTGTCTGCGTCTCCTCTTTTACACGCTATTTGCATTTCTCTAACATCCGTTCACGTTCAGTTCAACTCAGCGTGAACGGATGTGGAACAGTTGACTGCAGCAGGTGGACAGATGGCCAACTATCAGTTGACTTGACCATCTTATAGCATGGAAAGGTGGACGGTCATCAGTTCACCTCACCTAAGCTTAACTGATGGGATAAGTTGAGTTCACCTCAACTGATCAAGCTTTACTACGGGCCAGACTTCACTTAGCGACTTCACAATGTTCTACTAATGAACAACATTACAGGCGAAGCAACGACTACAAGTGCAACTACCTATATTTTTACTACGACAATGCCGACTACGACAAGCTCAGTAGCAGCGCTGTCGACAACAACAACAGCGATGACAACAACAGCAACAGCGCTGGCGACTACAGCAACAGCGCTGAAGACAACAACAACAGCACTGACGACAACAATCGCAGCGTTGACTACTACAAAGCTAACAACAGCAGCAACATCTACAGAAGCTGGTACAACGATCACGAGCAGCAAAGTTGCTACTACTTCTACAACAGCTCCTACGACAACGACCCCAACAACAACAACTCCTTCGACAACAACTCCAACGACAACAACTCGAACAACAACCTCGACGACAACAATTCCAACGACAACAACTCCTACGACAATCACGACATCCATTACTACAAAAAAGACGACTATAACCACAACAGCGACAACGAAAACTACAAAGGCGACAAAAGCAACTACCACCGCAACAACAACAGCGCGCAAAACAAGCACCACAAGAAGAACAACAATATCTACTAGCAAAACGTTGCCAACGACAATAAAAGAGATAATACCGCCTCCAATAAAGTCAACTGTTATATCAACACCGAAGATTGCTATTAGCCCCTCTACAAAACGAAGGGGGAGAACGAAGGCCAAAACTTCCTCAGTTATAACGACAGCCAAAGAAGAAGGGTATGAGTATTATGAGGACGAGTACAGTGATGTCACAACAACCACGAGGAAACCGACTGGCAAAGGAAGAAAACCTAAACAGTCAGATTTTTTGCTTTTTGCACACCGTTAGCTCTTACTCTGGTTTTAATAGTGAAGTTTTAGGGATGGAGATGATGAGCATGGGAAAAAGGCCAAAGATGAATCACCGCAAAGGAAGTAGGCCACTTATTTTTGGTTTACTTTTATTATAATAACTAATCATTCATCTCATGCAAACAAGATGATTGATTGTAGTGGAACAGGCTGATTTGTGATTTTTTCAAACCATCATGATCAGGCACCAATTCACATATCACGTTTGAACAATTTTCGTTCATTAGTCTATGCTCAATAAATTGAGCTCTTCTTCAGAATGGACAGATTGTCTTGATATCCCTCAAATTTGCACGGCTAAATTTCGGAGTTATTGAAGTGAAAACTATCTAAAAAGGCTATTCAAGCCCAACAATTCACAATACGCAAAAGTGTTCAAGTTACGTATAAGTCAAAAGAACAACTGTAATTTTTTGGCGCAGTGAAAAAGCCAAACCTATGGAATTTTAGCCTAAAACTCCCGTAGAAGGAAGAAAATTTAAATTTAGTCGAAATTATCGGCAAAGGTGGAAATTGCTTGGAATTAATGATCTTTTGAGGTAACCGTTTGCACTTGTACATGCAGAAATTATTGAGGTGTAAAACCCTATACAGGCGTACGACAAACACTTAAATGCAATTTGAAATTAGAGATTTTTTTGTTTCAAAAGAACTGTAGTCATTCTCGAGGTGTCCCATTACTTTCCACACTAATATCGCAATTCACTGACAAAATTCTGAAAAACCTTATATGCCGTCTTTCAGTCAAAAGCTGTTTATCGCTATCATTGTCGCTCTTGTTATATTTATCCTTATATTTGTAGCGTACCTCCTGATAAGTTATAGGAAGTACAAGGATAAAAGTTAGTCAGATTTATGTATTGCTATTGCCATATCGACGTTCAAATCTCATTGTAGGAAAACATCGATTTCATCAAGTTTTAAGAGCCAGGAAGGCCTCTGCTCCGAAAACGCCATCGGTGAGTTATACGCGAGTGTTTTCATATCAAATCACTTGCCATTTTTTGTAAACAAGCGTCAGTAGTTATGCACTTTTGCTGACATACAGGGTGCTATAACACTTTGCTTGCTTCCATACTAAAAAAAAACAAATTAAACTTCGAGTAAAAGATGTGCGAGAGCCACAAAAATGTGCAGTTGCAAACTGAGCGGTACCAACCATCAACTGCTCAAATTCTTTTGCATCTCTAAGTATATGGTTTGATGTATATCGTAAGGCGCATTTTGGCAAATGTCATACCAGACAGGCGTTCACACAAAGTGCAACTCGGCCGGAAATTTCTGCGCCTTATAACCTTCTCTCGCCTGTGCAAGCTTAAATATGAGGCATGGCTCAGGCAACGCGGCGTAAGCGGCGTATGCATCGTACACACACTTGTGTGAACAGTGGAGCTACTAGCTGATAGTTGCGCAAGCCACCGCCACCGGTCTGGATCAACCCTAATATGGAAAGGGTAATTAGTGACCGTAATCATTCGTAATAAAACACATATCATTGAATTGTCTTAAACCTCTGATTTCACTTTGCTGCCCTTCTGGAAACGCTGATTTCGCTCTGCCCTATCTGCCAAAAGAATGTCTGAGACTAGTTACGGGCTTTTTTCCGCAGAATTTTTACAGGCTAAGCACAGTCAAAAACATTGATAGTTGATTATTTTGTGGGTACGCGCAACTGAGACAGTTCCCCCAAGTTCATAATTGCGCTCTTCTGCAAATGTTCTTCCGAAATGTAACAAGAGATTTGAGCAATGTTCCCACTCTTGCTCAACTAAAACAGTGCAAATGCTTATAGAAAACACTTGTAACTCAGAAAATCGCTTAGCAGAAAGCAAAAGCAGGTGTCAAATCAGCGTGCTTAGACAAATCTCTTGATATGTGTCTAGCGAATGCTCACGGTTATCAGACATCCTACGTACACTTTTAAAACCCCAATTCCATTTACAACCGGTCAAAAACAGTGTTCTTTGTTTTTACGATCAAACGGAGACACAAGCGATACTTTTTACTTTTTACATTTGATACTCGCATTTTATAGATTCACATAGGAGGGTAATGACTTCAAGTTGAAAGCACCGATTCGGCAGAATGACAACCTTGGGTATTCATCGTTCTCTGTTCCCCTGGACGAGCTAAGTCCGGTATGGGGAGTACGGTGTCTCCACTCACGAGCCAATGAGCCTAGAGAGCAGGCATACGCCGTTCGCCCAAAAATTACTTTTCACGTTTGGGAAAGCAGTTTATTGATTTTGAAGCTGCAAAACAGTTAAACTTAGCTTATCCAGCGGGACTGAAAATGATAAATATCCCAATTGTCATTTTGCCGAGCCACTGCCTTTAAATATTTGAGCGAAGCTCGCGCAACCTTGCCAGTAAGCTTGCAAACTTCATTTCCCTTCCTTGAAAGGCCGGGTTGAACTGAAAGTTTGCATTTGAAGAAATCAGCTAAAAAACAAGAGAAAATTCTTTTTTTACCGATCTTAATAATTTCAGACTAGCAGGGGACGATCAGAGTCGCGCCGTAAAGGGAAGGTAGGCATACGTTTTACAAAAGTTTCCTGTTGGGTATCAAGATTTTTCTTTATCCGGACATATAATTATTAAATAAAGGATAAATGCAAATTATTTTGGAGTAAAAAAACGTTGTTATATCTGTGTATATTGTAAAAGGACGTAGAAAAAACAAAAGCAAATGCTTAGCGAGGTCAAGTTTTGGAATATCATGACGTGGGGCAAAATCGTACAAGCCCATAGACACATGTTATACTTTTTGTTGCAATGGGCAGGAAACTCCAAATCATTATTTAACGAGAATGGTCAAGCAGCAAAGCACAGAGCACAAATGAGGCAAGTGAGAACACTGTCATGAAAACGAGTGTGAAAACAGCATCATGATTCATTCGCATTTATCACGATTTTCGCCTATTTGGAGTTCCTTCAGTATCTCCGTTTCAATGATACTCTCTGAGAAGAGAATGACGACGTCCATGAAACGAAGCTTTGAGCGAAATCTCTCTAACTCGCGTGCTCTCTCCTCCCCCCTTCCAGTTTGCTGACTTCACCTACTGCAAGGCCGCAATAAAAAAAGCGAAATTGTGTCGTCTCGTCGGACCCTTTCTCAATTAAATGGTCAGGACGGGGGAGAAGGGCGAATAGCTGCATCGTCGCTATAAATCCGTGCATCATCTGGCTCACAAAAGCTGGGTCCATATCTTGATCGACTATCTCAGACAGGATGGCATTGATTTCAACGCTGCCAAATCCTTTCTCGTCGTCCACGAAAATTTAGGCGAGAGGTTTTACGACTCGATATGCTCAGCACCTCTCGCCTAGTGCTCGTCTGCCTAACACAGCACTCTAACTCCAGAATCTTGCATGTCTGCTCAACTTATTCAGATGTCCGCACGATAAGCGAATCACAGAGTGCGAATAGATTGGAGCGCATATATATGAACATAAAATGACATACACAATTAATAAAGGGAACTACTCTCTTCTACCAGAAAGAACAAGAAAGACACTGGCGAGCCGCCCTGTCCGTGCTGCTGATAATCTCATAAACTTGAACTTCATCCGTGTTGACCGTAAGTCCCAAGCCCTTATGGGACGGTGCGACGCCTTTCCACTCGGTGGTAACATCCATCCACATGACGAAACTACAATTACTCGCTGCGCGTCAGAAAAAACAAGAAGATGACAAAAGCTCAGCAGCTCAAAGCCAAGTCCATCCACGAAAGTTTCTGAAGGGCTGTCAGCACGAACGATATAAAAAAATGATAACGAACAATTTGAAGAGGAAGCCGCTGTTTGCGCGGCTTGGTATTGCGTCCAACAGAAGGGATTCGGGCGGTCTTTATCAATCCTCCCGTTCTCTGTTTGGGCTGTTATACAAGGCCTGGAAGGGCGAGAGCGTTTAAACAGTATTTAAAAAATTGGTTAGCATGGTCCAGGGCAGCAGAGCCCGATCTGTCGAGATCGGGCCTGCTGTGCCCGATCTATCGAGATCGGGCCTATTGTGCCCAACATGGCCAAACTTGCCAGGTCGCACCCTTGAACCCATGCACTGTCCTAGTATGAGTACCAGACAGTATGGTAGTAGTGAAAAATCCTAAATTCTGTTAATTAGTGTGATTCAAATGATTCAACCCAGCATTCTATTTTATACTTGATACGTACTGTTTTCGATGAGCAAGAAATGAGGCTTTTTAACTACTTTGCACATTTCTCCAATTCTAACTTATTTTTTCGTTTGCTATGAAGAGTCTTACAATAAGTAATATTCAATACGTTATTAATGTTCCGGACGAAATGGCTGCATCCGGCTTTTTTTGAAAAAAAAAATGACTCTCCTCACTCTGACCTTACAATTGTTGACACGATCATCAAAGGTGCATATGAATACAAAAATGTGCTCAAGGACCAAAGAAAGAAAAATGGTAAGAAACGATGGGTTTTTATATGTTTGCGATATGCAAAGTTTACACCAGCAGGTGATTCGATAGCTCGCGCTGCTGAAGTACTGCTCTCCACAGTAAGTTTCTGAACAGGCATGAGAGCGATGCACATGCGAGATAAATACCGCGTCCTGGCGCAAAGTCCAGCATCGCGCCCGGTAACGCGCTGCCAGCGCTCCCGTCCTCCTGTTGCGAGGAGTGGCTAACAGGCCGCGTTCGAAACCCTCGTCTGGATGTGTCCATGCAGCTGAACTCCTTGTCGGATCCAGCTCGTTTTTAAGGTGGGCTTACCACGGTGTCCTTTACGAGGATATATTGGTGAGAAGCCTGTATCGGTAGTCTCTGATATTTGTCTTTCCTGAAGAAATGAACAGTCCTTGAGGTCCTCCGTTTGTCAGGGATCCTGTTTTAAATGTATGATATGAGATGCGACAAGAGAATTTCGAGTAAAGGTGTTTCTCGGCAAGCTGAAGTTAGACAGAGAAGTGCTCAACAGCAGCAGCAATGTCATGCAAAATATTTTTATCTAAGGCTAGCTGGCATAACCGGCTCGGCTGGCGTCAAACACTATGGAAAATATCATCATAGCCCAGTGTGATAGCTCCTATTTTAGAGAACGCCCCTTTTCCTACCTTGTTTTAACTTTGCTTTTTTTCTTTTATAAAATTTATCCACCGGAAGTACCTCGCTATGGCAGAGTATCTGAATTAAAAAGTCTCCTGAATTGCATACATGGTGTTGGACATCATACGAGGAGTTTTTCGCTTTGGTAGGCAGAAAGCAGTACCTTAACGCTAAACTGGGAATCTCTCAATACATCGCGCAAACCTAACAATTACAGTAGCCAATCTCTTATTCGAGATAGAGACATTCAAGGAAGTAGCCGAATACATCCTAATATAAGACTGCAGTTGAAATGGTGAGAGTACTTGCTTGGAAAACTGGTATACATCAATCATGGTCTTTATGGAGCAGTCAAACCACAATTAATCGACAACTCAGATAATGCCGAAGGCAGGCGGCCATACGATTTATGGGCAAGCGGGCATCGGAAAAATAGTTCGCTGATTTCTTGCTGTCCGCTTGCTGATATGAAAGAATGTTGGCCAAATTCTGGACGAATGTTTGGAGAAATTGCGGTTTTTTCATAGATTATAGCGGCGTAGTGGCCGCATTCTCGCGGATTTTCCGCGAGAATATGCAAAATTTTTAAGGGCCGCACGTTCTTTTGTAAAGGACTGCACAGCCCATAAGCATCTCCCGCTGAGAGAAAGTACCCCAAATCGAGTAATTAAACCATCTGTGACACCGCTTTCATTTAGAGTATTGCCTCTGGTCGGCGTACGCCCGTAACTGCATAACAAGGATTAGAGCGCCCGCTGAAAATATGGTCAGCGCTCGCTGGAAAAAACGCTTGCAGAGAATTTCGTATTGTTGCCCGCTGGCAGAACATACGATAGCAACGGATGCACCGCTTGCTGAAGGTTTGGCCACGCCCCAAATTTCTGCTGACAGCCTGCAAGAAAGCGCGAGTTTGCGGACCGCCTACCCTTGGCGATTGTCTGAGAAGTTATTTCATTTGCTTTATTTCGCTGAGCAGCTTGCCATAACAAAAGTCACCAATCCTGGGCAAAACTTTTTTTAGAAAAGTCGATTTCACCTTATATGCGATGTTGGTAGTAAGCTTAAAAGGGGAGGATACCTGGTCGAATTGGCATTACCATATGAAATGTATACTGCCTTATAGAACGCAAAACGCTGATTCCAAATCTGCTTTTCTTATCTGCAAGGCGCCTCTGGAAAGGGAGTTCTGGGACTTTTTTGTGGTGAAAATTCAATGATTTGACTAAGGTAAAAACAGGTGCTAAGGTCTTTCTGGCTCTTGAAAGGATTAATGACTGGCATGAGATTATTAGATCAAAGATATTAGGTCGTTCCGAAAGTTCTTTCCGTTTTTCCAACCTATCATAAAAACACGTGGAATAAAGATAGGGAAACGCTTTGGGCACTATCCGACGCAGCTTTTCTTCCTCTTTCTAGCAGTCATACTCACATGTCGCTTATTCTTGTGATCGCTGAGATAATGGCCGAAATTTTGAACCCATGGTTTTTACCATGTCCAACTTTGGCAATTTTTCACAATCTTCTAATTTCACTTTTGGGAAACCTTTGATAACATTCAGATAGAGTAAACAAAGCGCAATTTAACGCAATTTTTCGGCAAGTATAGCTAGCCTTAAAAATTTTTTAGAATTATTTTTCTGATGCTATCAAATTCCACTTTTGGGGATGCCAAGAGCCATAGAACATAAGAGGGCGCACAACTAAGGTGTCATTCGATGCAGATTTTCCTTTTATTTCTAATGGATATATTTTCTTTCCAATTTGTGAGATCTTTGGCAATAAATTTTCCATAATTCTTGATTTTGAACCCGCCCCAGCCTGTACAGGTAAAATGCGAAACCTTATATTTCCAAGCGGTAAACGCTCAGTTGCTTTGTAAAAATTGTGGATAATCGTAACTGACTTTTGAAAGCTTCAAAATCCGTAGATTTGCCAGTGTTCGGGGCGTTTCTGTATTTTGGGACTTTACAAAAGTGAAGACTTTTGGAAAAATTATTTCAAAAAATACTGAAAAGCCAGCTGGATATGCCAAAAAATTTGCATTGCATTGCACTTTGTTTACTCTATTTGACTGCTATCAAAGCTTCTCCGATAGTTCAAAATGAAGATTGTGAAAAACTGCCAAAGTTGGACATGGTAAAAACCATGGGTTCAAAATTTCGTCGATTATCTCAGCGATCACAAGAATAAGCGACATGTGAGTATGACTGCTAGAAAGAGGAAGAAAAGCTGCGTCGGATAGTGCCCAAAGCGTTTTTCTATCTTTATTCCACGTGTTTTTATGATAGGTTAAAAAAACGGAAAGAACTTTCGGAACGACCTAATATCTATTGCATAAAAGTCCAGGTAGTAATCATGGCCTCGTTTAGCTCACGGAACCAAATTCTGAATGATTTTATTGTGACCACAATTCTAAAGTTTTTGCATAAAAAATTTTCATAACTCTCCTCCCAA